ACCTTTTCACCAAATGGTTAAGGTTGAAATAAAACTTGTAGGATGTCATCTCATCAATAATAAATTGCAATATTGACTTTTGCATCAAGGTGCTGAATGCAAAAGTTATGAAATATCAGTGAAGCATTTATTTAGTGCCTTTCACACAGATTATGTCTAAGAGAGAGTTGATTTGATTCTGAGCTGGAAAGAGAAGGGAAGTGACTGAAGGCATGATTGAAGAGGAAAGTCTTCAGGTGTGATTTGAAGACGGGTAAAAAGTGGGCAAGGTGGAGGGTCTGAGGCAGGGAGTTCCAAAGATTTGGGGCAGAGTGACCGAAAGCTCACTACCAATGGTGGAGCGGAGGGGATGTGCAGAAGATCTAAACCAGCTGGGAAAAGGCATCAGGTAGTGGAATGAGGTGTGAGCAGATCGGAGAGGTAGGGAGGTGCCAGGCATGAAGTCATTTGAAAGTGAGTGCGGATCTTGAAATCAATCTGTTCTGCAACAGGGAGGCAGTGGAGTCTGGCAAGATCTAGAGTGATTGGGTCGGGGAGCATGCTATGGGTGAGGACATGGGCAGCAGAATTTTGTATCAAATATGAAAAGATTTAAATATTTTTCTTCTGCAGTTTGCTTTTTTAATTATTTATCCATGAGGGGGAAACACTCTGAAAAGCAGTTGCCGAATACATGAGATACCAAACTAGGTCAAAGTCCCCAACCTGTGGCTTCAAACCCCAAACTTCTGACTCAGCGATGAGAATGTTACCAACTAAGTCAGGGTGACATGTACATTAAAGAGAGTTTGATGTTGTTATGCAGAAAGTAAAAGGTTATTGCTTAGCTTTGATATCACATGACACTTAAGTGCAGTGTGGTACTCTTCTGAAGTTATTGGTTTGTTATATAATTGAGTTAGAGCAAAGCATTCCACACACACACGTTACATACACATCCCATCAAGAGTATAAACTGGGTGCATTCAATCAACCAGGATATTGTCAGCAATAGAAACATGACATTAACTCTTGTACACTATTCAGTTGAAAACTTGGTTGTGTTGAAAATTGACAGAGTAAATCTGCAAAATGTAAATAGTGCAGCTATTTACACCAATCTTAGCTTTGAGCATAATGACCTCTCTTCATGACACAATTTTAAAGCTGGCTACAAATCAGTGGTTTTCGAAACAGGCTGGCACAAACCGTTTCATTAAAACTCTAGTCACTTTGTCCCGAGGAGGGAAAAAAACTGAAGTGTATGCGTCAGACCAGTCAATTCGTACTCTACAGCACACAAATGTGGATGGCACAGAGGTGAATGTAAACAGTGGAGATGGGATTCACGTCACATCAAATTAACTGCGATTTCACAGTATAAATTGGCTTTTAGTTCAAACAAGGCAGGTCAACTAGAAAGTGCAAATCAGGGACTGCTTCACTGCCTACAAACAACTGCTGTTAAAGTACAGCACCATTTTAGCTCCGGACGTTTTCCTTTGCAGCGTATTACTTTAGGTGGCACAAAAACAAATCTGTAAAAGCTGGTTGCAGTACATGGAAAAGCTGCACCGAAGAGAGTTTTTCACAAGATGCAAAGAGAAGGCAACATGAGAAAGACATAAGTCCACAGGCAGATAGTGCAATGATGGAAGCATTGTCACATCTTTCTGATTAAATCCTATAATTGAATACTTTCTGATTAAATCCTATTGGAAATGAAATCAATACACAATCTATATAATTTAAGCACAACACAGCACAAACCTAAAGACTTTGATTACAGGTGAAATGTGTCAAAAGTGTTACCACACTCACAAAATCTGACACATTCTATTACTCCATCCTCCCTCACCCCACCCTCAGCTCAGGTCCGTAACTCTGTCTGTCCAACGCCTTGGGACGTCCTCCCGACGTGAAAGGCGCTATACAAATGTAATTTTGTTGTTGTTGTTAAATAGAATGAGCCAGCCTTATACACTTCCGATCTGGATAGCACTCCATTACTACACACACTGGAATCTATTGGATTTATTGGATTAACACAAAAAAAAAACTCTGAACAACACTGTGGCGTTATTAAAAATGAACAATCATTCAGGGAAACAATGCAAAAGATGTTTTAACTCCTAGTAATATCAATTTAGTTACAAAAAAAAATTCATCAAAGGCTGAGGCTTGGCACAGCAGATGCTGCTTTATGCCAGCGCCTAATATAATGCACACTTTGTTCCCTGCACTCTTGGTGGTGCTGTCGTCCTGAGCATACTGAGCAGTTTCCAGACAACAGAGAGGCTCCTTTCAGAAATGCCATTTATTTTAATTATAAACCAAAGCCTTTTTTTGTGCGGAGTATTCGATAGTCAGGCGGCTTTTCTTTCTGATATGAAGCGTGCTGCAAAACATTTTGGCTTTCTGACACACAACTAATATTCCTGCAAGAAAAAAATCATATAATTGGAAGTGACTCATACTGCATTCTTTCCTGGTACTGTAATAATAACAATATAATCCATTTTGTATTGCGCATTGTGGGTCAGGAGATGTCTCAAAGCGCTTTACAGGGTATAAATTGTAGTGACTGTGAGTTTTTTGGGCAACGGGGCAACGACAACAACTCACAGTTATCAAGTGTCTATCACACAGGATACTGTCTCAGAACACTTAGCAGTGGGAGCCAATCGATGAAAAGTTAATAAAATACAAACTGGACCAAGTAATGGTCTAAAGTCTCTGTGACTCGCATTTGCATTCTCTGTATTACACAGGAGTTTTTGGTTCCATACTGTATTTACTCTGTCATTCAACTTCAATCATACCCTTAAACTTTCCCACAAAATCCACAAAGTCATCTAACTTTATAGCAGAATTTGTGAAGCGCTTTGAGATGTCTCGACAATATAATAAGGCGCTATATCAAATTCAAGGATTATTTTTATTATTGTTAACCATTGTCTTGCTGAAAGCCCAAATTCAAGCACTTATCTTACACACAACCATATCACCAACACAGCCACACATGCATTTCAACAACTGCTGTTCTGATCATATTGTTGAGAACAGTTAGTTAATACCTGCTGCTGTCAATCCCACTGGGTACCTGATACCATCTCACTTAGCATGAAAACTCTACTAATATTTAAAATCAGTAACAATGACGGGGAAGCACCAAAACAAAACAAAATATTTTGAATTCAAGCACTATTCAAGCATTATTGAAGTAAACTTTCAAGTTGAATTTTGTTATTATTTTAACCTGCAAGTTACCCACTGCTATTGCAGAGACTGTAAACAGAGGGTACGAGCAACTTTGTGGCGAGTCCTTTCACTAAACTCTCTCTTTTAGATAAACAATAATTCGTTACTTGCATTTATATCAAGACCTTCACACAGGTTAGGGACAAATAGATCATCTATGCAGCTACTTCTTTGAAATGAAACATTCAAATCAATATTACTAAATAAGCGGTTTATTTGCTACCACTTCTAAGCAAAGAACAGTCTCTACTGGCTATTTTGTTTGAAAACTGAAATAACAGTCAAATGTCCATTTATAGAACCAATATTTTTTGCCTAGAAATACAGTCCAGCTTTGTTTGAGGGACAACTGAAAGCACAGCTGACAGCAAGGTTTATTTATTTCAATCCATTTATCACCAGATCTGCAGTCCTCCAGTGGGTTCAAATTACCTTCACATAAATAAAATCATGTCATGGTCTACATCTAGGTCATACACATATTGAATATGGAGTAGTACCAAAGTAAAGTACAGCAGTGTGGCTCAGTATTCTGCACTTACTGATATTACAATTCCTTGGAAATTGGACAGTTTGCAAATGTTCAATTGCAAAGATGAGCAGATTTGTGTACGGTACGCTTATCCGTTAAAGCTGCAAGTGCAATCAAATGAGCACTTGTGATCAACTGTAAAAACGATATTGTATCACAGCACACTATTATACACAGCATCATGTTATATTACAGCAAATCATTTGAATATGTATAGGTTTTACACCCATCTTTGATGCACCACCATAATGTCAATATGAGATTGCTGGGGTGACAGTGTTCAGTCATGTTCTCTCCACATGTACACTGAGGAAATAACACAAAGACAGTTTCCTAATTCCGTATTCACTGTTAAGTAATTTGGAAAAGTGCCTGTCCTAAACCATCGACAAATTGATACGGGGGATCCTAGAATGAAAATGAAATGAAATATCTTGCAACAGAATCCAGTCAGATTCCTAAGAAAGCAATATATGTTTTTAAACCAAACACCAACTAAATCCTACCATGAACTTATTTGTCTGGAATGCTGACTTGTATCATCAAGTCTATAGCCAGCTTAAGTGCAAAATTCTATCGAAATGATGTTTTTTGTGTGCCACACAAACCGATAATCAGCATGCACCACTACTGTTCAGGGAGAACAGCGGTTTTGCAAAGTTGCTCTAAAGTATTCTAGCAGATCCAGCGCCTTGCTGAAAACCAAATACCTCAGCCGTTGGTGCAACCAGAAACTTAAGAGCAAGATTTTATTCTTGGAATGTACGTTGGGTCCAAAAATGCCAGCTTTCTTTTATTTGGTGGCACAACATATTATTTAACTTAAAATGCATTCTATTGTATCTTCTCATCGTGACCATTTATGCTTAAACGCCCGAAAGACCTTAAGATCAGACCACGTTATTGTTACCTGGTGTTAAGTGACCATTTCACCAGAATGCGCAACTCTCAAAACAGCTGCCAAGGTTAAACATGTCATCTGAACACCCCACACCCCCTCCTATTGAGCGAAGGAATTTCTATTCCAATTTTATTTCTTTACGTCTAAAGGGAAATATGCAGCAGTATCAGTTATAAAAATACTGCTTTGTTTGTGCAAATCGAGATTTTTTTTAAGTGACGACTGGAAGAACACAAAATGTGTTCCTTCTAATCCGTGTCGCCAAACAGACAATGCTGATATTTAAAAAATAAACCACTTTGATTAAAAAAAGAAGTGTCCACTTACCATATATTCCATATTTGAGGCTCTGGGGGAAACCTGACCTCGCAGTTTATTGTGAAGATCCAAAATGACTTGCCTATCACTATCTGTAATGGACCTTTTTGCTCTTCTGGTGGTCCATTGATGTTCTTCCTTCTCCATGTATTTTGCCAAGATTGAATCCAAACCAGCAGTTATGTTGGAGCTCATGGTTGTTGTGGCTGATTCAGAAGTCAATTGCCTTTCCTCTTCTTCCATATATTTCCCCAGGATTGCATCCAGTTCAGCGGTAGCATTGGGGCTGGTGGTTGCAACAACTGTTTGCGCTATTAATAGCAAAGCAGTCAATCTTGTCCATCCCAACTCAGACCACTTCATATTGTGTGACCTTACAATACACTGGGATTAACTTCGAGGGCACTTGACTCTCCCAGATCTGTGGCTGCAATGGTGAAGAGAGAGAAAAGAGAGGAGAGAGCTGTTTGCACGTTAAAGGACTCGATGCAATAATTTGCCAAATAACAAAAGTAAATATTCCCGTGTTGGGAGGTGAGTGTCCTGCTGGAGTTGTCATGGAGACACATTAAGACGCCAGTCAGTGGAGACGTACCCAATGCAATGGTCCAAAAGGGCTTATGAACAGAAATCCAACCAGAAGAACTTAGAAAGGTCCTTCAGAAAGGCAGTGCGCTCACTCTCCAGTGTCTCTCTCTGACAGTTTTAAATTACTATTAGCAAAACTGTGGTCAAAATGACTTAGGTGATGGTAGATCTCTCCCATCAGTCAGGCTGCAAAGAGACACATGATGGAATAAGACTTAACCCCCCCCATCCCCACCCACCACCCCCACCCCACCAGTTACAACCAGAGAAAAGTTGGGAATTTGTTTTGAAAAATCCTCCTTTTTAAGAAAAAGTTTTTTTCGTCGAAAATAATAAAAAAAAGATTTCGAATAAGGCGTTGCTTCCAACTGGAAAGACCTTCGATAACTTTACACACTAGTTAGTGATTTACAAGTTAAACTCAACACAGCCAAGAACTCTTGAAAGAACTCACAGTGACTTCTCTTCCCCACCCACCCAGTCAGTCAGTCAGTCAGTCAGTCAGTGGTCAGATTGTTTTAGTCCTTAAAAAATATACAGATCTTTTCAACTTCTGTAACACCCACTTATATTTCCACACTTATTTCTGGGGGCGATTTAACCAGTAACTTAAGTCAAAGAGAAAAGAGGAATCTTTCTGCCAATCTTACCTCTGACCCAATGGACCCACTCGTTTCTGCCTTTCGATTCTCTGTGAAACTTTTGTGCTCTTGATCTCTGTAAACTTTACCTCCTGTGTGTGTGTCTCTCTCTCTCCTTATCTCTCTCTCCCTCTGTCTCACTCTTTCCCCCAGTCGCTCGCCTTCTCTCTCTCTCTCTCTCTATCTGTCTCTCTTTCTCTGTCTGACTGTTTCTCCCCCTTCTCCCTCTCCCTTCTCTTCTTTCCCGTCTTTCTGGTTCCCTCTCAGTGTCTCATTCCCTTTCCCTCTTTCTATCCCCCTCTCCCTCCTCGTCTCTCCCTCTCTCTGTCTGTCTGTCTGTGACTCTCTCCCTGTCTCACTCTCTGGTTGTGGGCGCCTCTCTCTATCCCCCTTTCCCTCTTTATCCCTCTTTTAATCTCTCTTTCTCTGTCCCTCTGTGTTTTTCTGTATCTCTCTTTCCCCCAGTCGCTCGCCTTCTCTCTCTCTCTTTCCCTCTATCTGTCTCTCTTTCTCTGTCTGACTGTTTCTCTCCCTCTCCCTCTGTCCCTATGTGTGTGTTTCTCTGTGTCTCCCTCGCTCTCTGTCTGTCCCTGTCCCCCTCTCTCTGTCCCTCCCTCTCTCTGTGTCCCTCTCTCTCTGTCCCTCTCTCTCTGTCCTTCTCTCTCTGTCCCTGTCCCCCCCTCTCTCTCTCTCTGTCCCTCTCTCTCCTGTCCCCTCTCTCTCTGTCCCTGTCCCTCTCTGTCCCTCTCTCTCTGTCCCTCTCTCTCTGTCCCTCTCTCTCTGTCCCCCTCTCTCTGTCCCTGTCCCTCTCTGTCCCTCTCTCTCTGTCCCTGTCCCTCTCTCTCTCTCTCTGTCCCTGTGTGTGTGTTTCTCTGTCCCTGTCCCTCTCTCTCTGTCTCTGTACGTCCCTTCTGTGTGTGTGTGTCCCTCTTCCCTCTGTTACACCCCTTTAATCTCTCTCTCTGTATCCCTCTGTGTGTTTCTCTCTCTCCCCTCTCCGCGACAGAAAGAAAACCGGAGACTCCGAAGTTTCCAACAGGAAGTAGTTTTGTCCACTTTATAAATATAATCTGCAGATGTTACTGGAGGTTTGAGGGGAGAGCGTGTCCTGGGCTGGGGCTGGGCTGCTGGGCTGCTGGGCTGGGCTGGGCTGGGGTTGGGCTGGGATGGGCTGGGGCTGGGCTGGGCTGCTGGGCTGGGCTGCTGGGCTGGGCTGGGGTTGGGCTGGATGGGCTGGGGTTGGGCTGACCTGGGTTGGGCTGGGGTTGGGCTGACCTGGGTTGGGCTGGGGTTGGGCTGGGATGGGCTGGGCTGGGGTTGGGCTGGGATGGGCTGGGGTTGGGCTGGGGTTGGGCTGACCTGGGATGGGCTGGGCTGGGGTTGGGCTGACCTGGGATGGGCTGGGATGGGTTTGGGCTGACCTGGGATGGGCTGGGCTGGGGTTGGGATGGGCTGGGCTGGGGTTGGGCTGACCTGGGATGGGCTGGGCTGGGGTTGGGCTGACCTGGGATGGGCTGGGGTTGGGCTGACCTGGGATGGGCTGGGCTGGGGTTGGGCTGACCTGGGATGGGCTGGGATTGGGCTGACCTGGGATGGGCTGGGCTGAGGTTGGGCTGACCTGGGATGGGCTGGGCTGGGGTTGGGCTGACCTGGGATGTGCTGGGCTGGGGTTGGGCTGACCTGGGATGGGCTGGGCCGGGGTTGGGCTGACCTGGGATGGGCTGGGCTGGGGTTGGGCTGACCTGGGATGGGCTGGGGTTGGGCTGGGGTTGGGCTGACCTGGGATGGGCTGGGCTGGGGTTGGGCTGACCTGGGATGGGCTGGGATGAGGTTGGGCTGACCTGGGATGGGCTGGGCTGGGGTTGGGCTGACCTGGGATGGGCTGGGCTGGGGTTGGGCTGACCTGGGATGGGGCTCCTCTGCGCCTTTTTATTCTCCACCAAACCTGGGAACGTGTCAGATCTGCTCCCCAGCTCTTGCTGTAAGTGCCAGTGAGTGATCTGGAATGAAGAGAGGAGCAATTCTTTGAGAGAGAGAGAGAGAGAGATAGGGGGGCAATCCAGAGAGAGGGGCAATCCAAAGAGAGAGAGGAGCAATCCAGAGAGAGAGGGGGGGGGGGGGGGGGGCGATCCAGAGAGAGAGAAGAGCAATCCAGAGAGAGGTAATCCAGAGAGGGAGGAGCAATCCAGAGAGAGAGAGAGAGAGGGTGGGTGGGGGGATCCAGAGAGTGAGAAGAGCAATCCAGAGAGACGCGCAATCCAGAGATAGAGAGGAGCAATCCAGAGAGAGAGAGAGGAGCAATCCAGAGAGAGGGGGAGAGCAATCCAGAGAGAGAGAGAGGGGGGGGGGCGATCCAGAGAGAGAGAAGAGCAATCTAGAGAGAGTTAAAATCCAGACCGAGGAGCAACCCAGAGAGAGAGAGGAGCAATCCAGAGAGAGAGGAGCAATCAAGAGAGAGAAGCGAAATCCAGAGAGAGGAGCAATCCAGGGGGAGAGAGGAGCAACCGAGAGAGAGAGAGAGAGACGAGCAATCCAGAGAGAGAGAGAGAGAAAAGAGCAGTCCAGAGAGAGAGCGAGAGAGCAGAGCAATCCAGAGAGAGAGAGAAGAGCAATCCAGAGAGAGAGAGAGTAAGTAGCAATCTAGTGAGAGGAGCAATCCAGAGGGAGAGAGGAGCACTCAGGTGTGAGAGAGAGGAGCAATCCAGAGGGAGAGTGGAGCAATCCAGCGAGAGAGAAGAGCAATCCAGAGAGAGGAGCAATCCATGGGGAGAGAGGAGCAATCCAGAGAGAGGAGCAATCCAGATAGAGAGAGAGAAGCAATCCAGAGAGAGAGAGGAGCAATCCAGAGAGAGTGAAGAGCAATTCAGAGAGAGAGAGAGGGGGGGAGCAATCCTTGGAGATAGGAACAATCCAGAGAGAGGAGCAATCCATAGAGAGAGAGAAGCAAATCAGAGATTGGAGCAATCAAGAGAGAAAGAGGAGCAATCCAGAGAGAGGAGCAATACAGAGAGAGACATGAGCAATCAAGTGATAGAGAAGAGCAATCCAGAGAGAGGGGAGAGAGCAATCCAGAGAGAGAGAACAATCCAGAGAGAGAGGAGCAATCCAGAGAGCGAGGAGCAATCAAGTGACAGAGAACAACAATCCAGAGAGAGGGGGGGAGCAATCCAGAGAGAGAGAAGAACAATCCAGAGAGAGAGGAGCAATCCAGAGAGAGAGAGAGGAGCAATCCAGAGAAAGAGAAGAGCAATCCAGAGAAAGAGAGGGAACACCCCAGAGAGATGGAAGCAATCCAGATAGAGAATGAAGCAATCCAGAGACACGAGCAATCCAGAGAGAGAGAGAAGCAATCCAGAGAGAGAGAGAAGCAATCACGTGATAGAGAAGAGCAATCCAGAGAGAGGGGGGAGAGCAATCCAGAAAGAGAGAAGAACAATCCCGAGAGAGAGGAGCAATCCAGAGAGAGAGAGAAGAGCAATCCAGGGAGAGAGAGAATCAATCACGTGATAGAGAAGAGCAATCCAGAGAGAAGGGGGGAGCAATCCTTGGAGAGAGGAACAATCCAGAGAGAGGAGCAATCCAGATAGAGAATGAAGCAATCCAGAGAGAGGAACAATCCAGAGAGAGGAGCAATCCAGAGAGAGAGAGGAGCAATCTCGAGAGTGAGAGGAGCAATCCAGAGAGAGGAGCAATCCAGATAGAGAGAGAGAAGCAATCCAGAGAGAGAGAGGAGCAATCCAGAGAGAGTGAAGAGCAATTCAGAGAGAGAGAGAGAGGGGAGCAATCCTTGGAGAGAGGAACAATCCAGAGAGAGGAGCAATCCATAGAGAGAGAGAAGCAAATCAGAGATAGGAGCAATCCAGAGAGAAGAGGAGCAATCCAGAGAGAGGAGCAATACAGAGAGAGACATGAGCAATCAAGTGATAGAGAAGAACAATCCAGAGTGAGGGGGGAGAGCAATCCAGAGAGAGAGAACAATCCAGAGAGAGAGGAGCAATCCAGAGAGAGAGAGGAGCAATCAAGTGATAGAGAACAGCAATCCAGAGAGAGGGGGGGAGCAATCCAGAGAGAGAGAAGAACGATCCAGAGAGAGAGGAGCAATCCAGAGAGAGAGAGAGGAGCAATCTAGAGAGAGAGAGGAGCAATCCAGAGAAAGAGAGGGGAGCACCCTAGAGAGAGGGAAGCAATCCAGATAGAGAATGAAGCAATCCAGAGAGAGGAGCAATCCAGAGAGAGAGAGAGAAGCAATCCAGAGAGAGAGAAGAGCAATCTCGAGAGTGAGAGGAACAATCCAGAGAGAGGAGCAATCCAGATAGAGAGAGAGAAGCAATCCAGAGAGAGAGAGGAGCAATCCAGAGAGAGTGAAGAGCAATTCAGAGAGAGAGAGAGGAGCAATCTAGAGAGAGAGAGGAGCAATCCAGAGAAAGAGAGGGGAGCACCCCAGAGAGAGAGGAAAATCCAGAGAAAGGAGCAATCCATAGAGAGAGAGAAGCAAATCAGAGAAAGGAGCAATCAAGTGATAGAGAAGAGCAATCCAGAGAAAGGGGGGGAGAACAATCCAGAGAGAGAGGAGCAATCCAGAGAGAGAGAAGAGCAATCCAGAGAGAGAGAGAAGCAATCACGTGATAGAGAAGAGCAATCCAGAGAGAAGGGAGGAGCAATCCAGAGAGAAAGAGAAGCAATCCAGAGAGAGAGTGGAACAATCCAGAGATATGAGCAATCCAGAGAGAGAGAGAGGAGCATTCCAGAGAGAGTTGCAATCCAGAGAGAGGAGCAATCCAGAGAGAGAGGAGCAATCCAGAGAGAGCGAAGCAATCTAGAGAGAGAGGAGAAATCCAGAGAGAGTTACAATCCAGAGAGAGGACCAATCCAGAGAGAGAGGAGCAATCCAGAGATAGAAAGAAATCAGCAATCAGAGAGAAAACAAAATCTGGAGAAAGAGAATAATTTAGAGAAAATATGCAGAGACCAAGCGCAATGCAAAGATAGAGAGCACAGTTCAGAACAAGGCACCAAAGAAAACGTCTGACCTTATTTCTTGTGCTCCTATTCTTCAAGCACCACAACAACTTGTATTTATATAGAGCCCTTCACACAGGACAGTGCCTCAGAGCACTTAACAGTGGCCGAGCC